CACTGAAGGGGTACTCCAATTGCCTCACCCTGTATCCCTGTTCAGCATGGAAGAAGCCAGTGTGGTCAGCATCCCGATTCCCTACTGGCAACTTGGGTAACCCCTTCAGAGGATGGCATGATAAGAATCAGAGGTAGGAATTGGCTAGGCAGTTAGGGTAAAAAGATCCCAAAGAAATGTAGCCAGTTTCTTGGCTAAAAGTCAAATATCCGTGGGCCTGTTAGCAACATACTCTGTTCCAAAGGCCAAAGAAGGGGAATGTTGGAGGGGAGGGAGTAGGCATGGATTTGATCAAAACACCTTATATGCATGTATGAAACTCTCAATAAAATTTTTGTAAAAATTAAAAAAAAAACTTCTACAGACATGGCTAATTCAAGAGACTTAATGGATGCAATGTTATATCTACTTTCGAACAGCCTTTAGCTACCAATCAAGTAACTGAATGTTGTCTAGACCTGAGAGGTTTGCCCAAAAGGAGAGATATATTATAGGTAGAAGGTATACATCTCTACTAGAAACACCTTTTATCAGAGATGCTCACGTAAGTGGAGTCAATGCCCTCTAATTGGGCTTCCATGAGGGAGTTGGGACAGATTGAGAGGTTTTACCCAGCAAGCTGTCATGTGGAGGTTTCAGATTCTATCTTGCCTGATTTCCAAGCTGAGAATCATATTTTTGAGTTAAATCATCACCATAGAAAATTATTTTTCATTTTCAACATACACAAGTTGTCCTGTGACTGCACAGCTGAGTACAGGATAGCAGGAGAAAGGACGAGGTTGTCACAGGGCAACTCCAAGGGAAAGGCAAAGGGCCAGTGGGATGCACTGGTAGCTTTCAGAGCCACTCCTCACGCCAAAAAAGGCTTATCCATTTTATTAAGCAACTGGAGGATCATGTTCCTCTCATTTCATGGTACATATTTGATGTACAGGAAAACTCTACAAGGAAGCAATCACTGCTATGAAGACAGGATAAGTCATTTCTCACTCTAAATGCCATTCCTTGAGATGTGAACTGCCCCTTTGGAAGAGAGTATTAGGAGAGAAGGTGCTCTGGCCTCTGCAGCAGCCACTCAAGATGTTAGGGGCCAAGACTTGCAATAATCAAATGATAGGCATTCTGCAATCCCCATGTCCTAAAAGAAGTATGATCACAGTCTATTCTTTTTCTTTGGGAAAATGGAGTTTGAAATGCTAAGAGCTTCCTTTCCTAACAGCAAAATAATCAAAAGTAACAATTATACCAAGAGCAGCATTAAGAACAACGGAAAATACCCAAGAGAATTTGAAGGCCACATTCAAAAATGAATGATGTTGGTTCTAGTTTAGATCACAATAGTAATGTCTATATAAATTTGCTAAGTCTATTTTTTAATTATAAAATGTGCCTATTTCATTTTATAGCTCAGCCAATTTTTTTTTAATTTTAAAAACTATTTAATAACCACATGTTTAGAAGAATCATTTCATTACAGCATTAACATATTCACTAACAGTTTCCAGAGCAAAGATGCATCTCTTTCAAAATTGACTGTAATTTTTGGGTTTACAGTTGAATTAATACTGTTACACAATATTGAACTCAGTAAAAACCCTATAAGACATAAAATTGAATGAGGTTTTAACCTTTAAAAAGATCTCCACTTCTTTTTAAAACATACTGTTTCATACAGAAAAACTCATTTTTTAAAATTATTGATTTAATAACCACATACTTAGAAGAAGCATTTCATTACAACAGCATTGACATATTCAATAACAATTTCCTGAGCTAAGATGCATCTCTTTCAAAATTGGCTATAAAGTTTGAGGTTTACAGTTGAATTATTACAGTTATACAATATTGTACTCAGTATAAACCCTATAAGACATAAAATTAAATGAGGTTTTAACCTTTAAAAAAAGATCTCCATTTCATTATTAAAATACACAATTTCACAGAAAAATTCATTTTTAATGCAATTGACATTAAGATGTTTGCACATGCGTCAATTGCATTAAAAATGAATTTTTCTGTATGAAAAATTTATTTTT